ATTACAACTCCACATCCAGTGGCAGGTGCTCACGATACTGCACGGAAAGTGAAGTCATTTGACAGACACACACAAATCGTGCAGCATTATTCTCTCAGAAGTGATAAAGACTTAAACTGGAAAGCAATGGTTTATAGACATGAATGAATTTCTGAAGGAGCTGGAGAAAAACAAAAACAGAAGGCAAAGCGAGGACCTGTCTGAGGATTTGAATAGACAACTATGCATAACGGATAACCCATGGGGCTGCACCTATAATATAACTTGAACTTACTGTATATATTTCGGCCTTGGCACAGACCGCTGTGTTTCCATCACAAGTGAGCCCACCTCAGGCCAGCTGCAGAAGAAACAAAGCTTGTGTGTATTCATTGTTTCAGTTTGCAAACTGCACCCTCAGTTTCTGTTTCAGGTTTTTCACGCCATCCACACATGTGTATGAAATGTACCCACACTGTTAACAAATACTTTGTTTTTGGTTGCAAAATTAGATTTTATTACACATATCTAGTTGTTTTTTTTTTTATGACATCTCATTTACAGAGCTTCTAGATGTTGCTGATTGTTTTAAAGTTACATTCTTCAACACCACAGCTGCTGAATGTTATAATTAAGTTGAAGGTGAAGCAATAATATTTTATTCACTGTTAGTGTGATTCCTGTTTGCCTGTTTGCAACATATTACATAAACCACTGGCTGACTCCGTCCCTAACCCTAACAAAACCCTCGTAGCGTAACTATTCACTGCACATCTAGAGCTGATTGCATTTTGGAGTCAATCCAAGTTAATTAGCCAGAGCTAATTAACCTTAGTCTACTTACTAAGGTCTGATCAAGAAAGCACATCAGAGACTCTACTTCCTCAGGCGGCTGAGACGAGCTGGTCTGGGAAGCTCAGTCCTCACCTCCTTCTACAGGTGTGCAGTGGAGAGCATCCTGTGCTCCAGCATCAGCGTGTGGCATGGAGGCTGCACAGCTGCAGAAAGAAAAGCTTTGCAGAGAGTGGTGAAGGCTGCACAGAAGATATTGGAGTCAGCCTCCCCAGCATCACAGACAACTACACCTCTAGATGCAGGAAGAGGACCACCTGCATCATGAAGGACCACACTCACCCAGCACACACACTTTTTGCCCCGCTCCCCTCAGGAAGGAGGTTAAGGAGCAATACGTGTAGAACCACTAGACTGAGGAACAGCTTCTACCCTGAGGCTGTTAAACTCGTGATAATCACTGTAATGATGCTTTATCTGTGCTGCTCATTATCCATGCTGCTGATTTCTTACCCATAAACAGCTGTATTCATACCAACAAACTCATGCTCAGCATACTCTTTAATACACCTGATTATATTACTGTATATTATTAGTGTTTAACATATATATCTTAAATCCTTTTATAGTGTGCATTTCTACAGTTTACATTTTTGCAGTTTTTGGTGGGACATTGAGTACACAATTTCCTTCCACCTCATATACCACATGTGATGTGAATGACAATAAAGTCACCTTGAACCTTACAAAGGGTTATACCTCAGTGTATTTAACAAATAATGAGCTCACATCTGGTGTAGTAGCAGCTGGCAGTCATCTCCAACACATACTCCAAGTGCTAACTGATCATACAAGATTTCACAATATTGCATGAGTTTGCAGATTATTTTCATTTAGGCTTAACTAAAACAGTCACAACTCCATCATTTTACAATTAACAGTATTTTTTTTTTTTTTTTTTTGTCATTTAAGGTGGCAATCAATGTGCATTCATTAAAGGAGTTCAAGGCTTTTAATTTTAATTTGAGCTTTAGGAACGTGTTATTTGAACTCTGTTACTGAATGTGCTTTAATCAGATTGTAAAATGTTAACGGGCAGCCGGGAAGACAAACGGTGAGAAGAAGGGCAGCAGACTGGAAACATCATCCTCCTGCATCGACGCCCTTTGATGAGCAGGGCTGACTTTTACACCACTGAGTTGAGGTCACTTGTGGGATAAAATTGTAAATTATCCAATTGATTATTGATTTTAAACAAGGAAAGAGCAGGCTGTCTGACTTTTTAGCGAGCTTACTGGTAGCTGTTACTTGGAAAAGTAAGATATTCTATTAAAAAATTGGGGTTAGGTTCGATGCAAAACTTCAATGCCTTTTTGCTCATGGGTAGGAAAAGGAACTCGGTCCACTGAGGCATCCGGCAAATAGGTAGGAGAGATGAAAAAGCTTCTGAAAATCCATTCAGCCACCTTAAAATACAGCTTACACACACAGCTGTGCACAGGCCGACACACTCTAAGGGCACAGCAACATGGTGTTGGTCTGTCACAGAGCGTTGACCGCAGCAGGGTTCAAACACACACACACTCTCACACACACACACACACACAGCTTGACCACCCATCGCTTCCCTCTGATTACCACCACCTTCCACAGCCACCGTCACACCTTCTCCCTATACCTCCTGCACACTTCAGTGCTTCTCCCTTTTCTCCTGCTTCCCCATGCTCACACCACCTCCTCCACGAAGTTTCCACATTTTCTCACCACCGCTTGCACTCCGATTTCTGTTTCACACCGCATTCCTCCCATACGTTCCTCTCTAACGCATTAACATATAAAATGCCTCAACTGGTTCGTGGGCTCAAGTGCTTGGCGACTTAATCAGTCAGCTGCACAGCCACTTACCTGCTCACTCACTCACTTGATTAGTCAGCTGCTCACTCGCTCACTTATTTACCTGTTTACTTTCTAAATCAGGCTCATTTAGAGCCTCACCCGCTCGTCTGCGGTGACAAATGTTTCAGCAGGGACAAAAACCTGATGTGCAATCAGAGGTTTTCTGGTAATGTCGTGTTTACACAGCACTGTGCAGATAGTGCTTGTGATGTAAATGTGTTTTTTTGTTTGTTTGTTTGGTTGGTAGTTTTGTTTTTTGTTTTTTTCCAACCAGATCTATGACAAGGAAAAGTAATCTGACAGCACATTTTTTGACAAAAAAATCTAAAATTGTTTTATATTTAGCTCCACAGTGTGTAATTGATTAAAACAAAGTAAATGAATACAGTAGTCCCTCATTTATCATAGGTTTCATATATATATATATATATATATATATATATATATGTGAAAAAATGTGTTTTAAACCCTTCCCACACTCTTCCAATATTCTAAACAATGTTTCTATACTCTAAATGCTCTAAAAGAGTCTGAATGTCATGATTTCAGCTCCCTGCCTCCTCTGCTCTTTGCCACCTGTAAGTGCTCTTGGCCACGCCCACTTCCCCATTCTGCATGGTAAACAGCTGATCTGCTGCAGCAGGAAGTTTATCTTGCAGGCTGGACAAAGGTGCAGCAGGTGCTAAATAATTTAAAATATTTTATTTTAAATAAAAATACCATGCCGATTGTGCGGCTCATCCATCAATCAGCCAATTGTGTGTCATGTCCGATCTTATTTTGAAAAACCGTGATAGGGCGAGTCCGCGATAAACGAGGGTCTCCTGTAGTTTGAATTTTAAGTCGATTTAAATTAAATGTTGAGATAATTTAAATTTAATTTAAAGTTTAATAAATGGGATTAACCTGTATAAATAAAGGTTAAATGAAAAAGTTGAAAGACAACTGTCGATCGGTGTAGCTGGACAGCAAAGGGTTAACCCTTCACAAAGCTGAAGGGAGCATCATCTTGCACCTGTGGGCTGCACACAGATGCAGCAGGTGCTAAATTACTTAGAAATGTACATTTTAAATTAACAATCGATTCTGCTCATGCGGCTCTTCCATCAATCAGCCAACTGTGTGTCGTCCAGTCTTATTTTGGAAAAATCGGGAAAGAGTGAGTTGAACCACAAAGTAGCGAGGGACTACAGTAATTGGATTATTTGAACAATGTGTGTTTGATATGGCAACAAAATACACTTTTTTATTAATTAGTGCTTTGTTTAAGGTCTGGGGTGTTCTGATAATTAGGCCCGAGCAGCAAAGCGCTGCGAAGGCCTATTGTAATTGTGTCGTTTCTTATTATTATTAGGCCCGAGCAGCAAAGCGCTGCGAAGGCCTATTGTAATTGTGCTGTTTATTAGGCCCGAGCAGCAAAGCGCTGCGAAGGCCTATTGTAATTGTGTCGTTTCTTATTATTAGGCCCGAGCAGCAAAGCGCTGCGAAGGCCTATTGTAATTGTGTCGTTTCTTATTATTATTATTAGGCCCGAGCAGCAAAGCGCTGCGAAGGCCTATTGTAATTGTGCTGTTTATTATTATTATTTTTCTTGGGACTTTTGGGACGCATTTTTGGAGGCCTTAACATATCCCAAAACTCACCAAACTTCACCAAAAATTGTCCCCCTAGTAAAATTTTTGAACTGTAATGGATCCAAAAGTGGGCGTGGCCAAACTGCTC